CTCTGTGAGTTCAAGGCCAGCCTGGTCTACATAGTGAGTTCCCGGACAGATGGGGCTACAGGGAGACCCTGCTTCAAAAAGACGAAAAAAAAAAAAATCCTAGAAATTACATTCTAAAATAAAAGTGGTGGTTCTAAAATATGCACTCACTTTTTTATGGTTCTTCTCCATTTCGTTAATAATCAAACTTCTTTTCACTGAGAAGATTAATAGTTCTATAGCTCTTCTGTCAATTTTACAAGATTTATCTGATTTTTTATTGTTCCTCTGCAAGTAATATTCACTAAAAATATGAATATCAACTGTGCCAGCATTGAGCCCTGTTAAACTGGTTCTAGAGGAGGCGCTACAATAGAAATAGCTACATTTCAGCCTTTTAGCACAAATGCTTTGGCAGAGGTTACACTTAGTTAGATACATACATCCTGTTTTATATTTGATAAATCAGATAATTTTTTTGCTAAATCCTGAGTACAATCTGTGAAAATTATACATTTGGAGTAGTCTTATTAAATAACATATCCAGATTATATTCATTTTTATGTACATCAGTAATACATACTAGATAAACATGTTGAAGATGACCAAAGTATTCAGTGGCTCACTTGAAGACAGCATGCATCATTCACTTAAGCTGGGCAGCACACATGTATGGAGAGTAAAGTCATCCTCTGTTAATGTGGCTCTCACTTAATGTAGGCTTTTCTATTACCCCCAAGTTAAGTAAAACACACCACTTGAAAATAGGATGCAGAGAAGTTATTTAAGAGTACACTATGGAATGGAAATATGCTGAGTGGCCCAGTGCTTACTTAGCATGCATGAGGGCCTGTTTGAGCTCCACCACTACACATATATACAAAGGGTATATATGAGGCAAAAGCTACTTATTTTTAACTATTTAGTACCATGATTACTCTGACCACAGGACTACACTTGCTATAAGTAATCAATATATTTTGAATGAGTGGATGTTGTTCACACAGTCTCAAGGATGCAGTGAAAAGGAAGTTAATGCTCTCTGTGTTGATGGCCCAACCAACCAAAACAAAGTGCCTGCATTCTGAATAATTCCATCAACCAAGTATCATCATTTCTTTTAAGAGAAGAAAAGACTTATTTTGGCTTGCAGTTTGAGAGTATCGTCCATTATGGTAGTGAAGGCAGGGCAGTCAGGATTGTTCAGAAAAGATAGAGGGAGAAGTGGAGTAGAAGGAAGACTGAGACAAATGGAATCTCAGATTTGGGGAATGTGGTACTAGGCTGTCTGGAATTTCTGTTCTTTCCTTTTCCATTTCTAGTTCTGAGCTTGTCAGTCCTAGAATCCCCTCTCCAAGTTTCTTGACTACTCCAGGAAATATAACCAGGACTTGAACTTAGGAATTCCTGTGATCAAGACAATTTTAGCATGCTATACACTAGAAGCATTTCCTATTCCTGTTCAGACCACTTAGTTCTGATCAAGCCATACTAAAAAACAGCTCTGTCAGTTTTGACTTGTGTGGTGCACAAAATGCATACTCAGAGTCTTGTCCCTGATAGACAAATGCTTGACCACGGAGATACACCTGAAGCACTGGATTAGTATTTAGTATCTCCCCCAACTATTAACCTTACTGAGGATTTATATTATTTTATATTTTACCTATGAAGATTTTTATTTGATTCAAGGAAAAGAGGTCTGTCATTTGGAACATAAGACAACAAAGATCTGTAAGAATTTATTGCTTTAAATTACTAAATTATCTGGTCAAATCAATGATCCTAAACTTGTTCATAGTCTTTCATCATTTTTACATCTCACTATCATCTGACTGTTACTTTTGGTTCCTTAAATCTGTTTTCTATTTTTAAAATTGGCCATGCTGTATTATCAATAACATGTTGAAAATTGAATTTGATGTGCTAACTTGTATAAATATCTTTAAAACACATAAATATTAAATTGAAATATTTTGTCTATCTTCAAACCTCCTAAAATCATTGGGCATATCACTAGAAGTAACTACACCATATTTTCTGAATCACAGTTTAATGCCTAAAATCATACATCTCTAAATCCCAGCATTGCAAAAACACAGAATATCCCTTGCAAGCTAAACCATTGAGTTAGCTGACACTGGATGTCATCGGTAGGCCAGTACTGAAGTTCAAAGCATTGGCAGTTTGTTTCTAAGACAAGTGTAATGAAAGCTCCTTTCTGTTTCTACTTTCTCAATCTTGTGTTCTAGACCCAGAATATCATGTATGACATGATTTCCGACTTAAATGAAAGGAGTGAAGACTTTGAGAAGAGGATTGTCACCCTGGAAACAAAATTAGAGACTCTGATTGGTAGCATTCATGCCCTCCCTGGGCTCATCAGCCAGACCATCAGACAGCAACAGAGGGACTTCCTTGAGGCTCAGATGGAGAACTATGACAAGCATGTCACCTACAATGCTGAGCGCTCCAGGTCCTCGTCCAGGAGGAGGCGGTCCTCCTCTACAGCGCCACCAACTTCATCAGAGAGTAGCTAGAAGAGAATAAGTTAATCACAAAATAAGACTTTTTGCCATCATATGGTCAATATTTTAGCTTTTATTGTAAAGCCCCTATGGTTCTAATCAGCGTTATCCGGGTTCTGATGTCAGAATCTTGGGAACCTGAACACTAAGTTCTAGGCCAAAATATGAGTGAAAACTCTTTTTTTTTCTTTCAGATGCACAGGGAATGCACCTATTATTGCTATATAGATTGTTCCTCCTGTAATTTCACTAACTTTTTATTCATGCACTTCAAACAAACTTTACTACTACATTATATGATATATAATAAAAAAGTTAATTTCTGCACATACTTGTTTGGTCTCTTCATGTCTCTATTGCTTTACTTCTCACATTCTTATCAAGGCAAAATGACTGATGTACACAGATCATTTTGATCTCCAACAGTTTGGCTGGTTTGGAAAAGACTAAATTGCTCAGTACCCTAATTGTGAAGATTTTCATTCATGGAATATTAACATCATAATCACTTTCAAATGATACGGAAATTTGAGCTATTTTATCACATATACAAATAAGAGACGGAGATGCTTTCAAGAATTATTGTATTCCCATTTTTATTAGCAAATGCACTTGAAGTTTCAAGGGTCATCACTGTCTGTGAACTCATGTTACAGAATTTTAGATCTAAAGTAGAGATTTCTTCATCTCCCTGTGCATTCATTTTCTGTGGAAAGCTCAGGCTATACTTTCATTACTTGCCATATACCTGTCTGTATATAGATTTCCATTGGAATAATCAATGTATATGAGCACAAACCAACACATCACCTACCATAGGGATCCTTCTTGGACTGTACCAACACATCTGGTACAAGTAAATGTTATGTGGTAAATTTCACACGTTTTTCATATTTATTACATGAGCAGTTACGGGCAGTTTGTATGAAAAGGAACTGCGTAGTTAAGGCTGAAAAGTCCCTAAGAAGAAACTAGGTTTAACTAGGTTTGGAAAGACCAGGGTGAGGTGATCCCATGGAGTTTCCTCACGTAAAGCAGTCCAGCAGAGTCTGCAGGAAGAATGAGGATAAAGTGGTGGGACCAATGCACCATGAGAGTCTGCAGTCCATTTGGACACCTCTAAAGACAGCCTCCTTGAATTGGTTCAGTCCTGAAAAGTATTCCTGGATGTTCAGAGAAGTCTGTTCTGTTCGGGACTCCCCATTTTATGCTATGTCCTTTGCAGGTTGTTAGCATTATTTTTTTCTTCTTTACCACAGACTGCAGTGATATATTCGACCTACTTTGTGTAGTTCAGTGATAGATATTCCACCTCTCTTCTCTGTAACTCTTTAAAAAAAGAAAAAGAAAAAAATCAATTAGCTCCTTCTAAAAGGGGTAATTGCTTTAGATTGCAACATACCTGCTTTCCAGTTACTACTATCCTGTAGCTGAGACTAAGGCTCATATATACATACATACATCAATGGGAGATGAAAAGGTCTGGAAAGTCCCTTATTAATAAAGACCTAATCAGAACACTGCTTATGGATATATATTGCTGAGTTAAATAGTTGTCAAAATCCTATTACATCAGGAATTCTATTTTGTAGATGTAATTAAAATTTACTTTTATATACTTTGGATCATATACAAGAATATAGCAAATATTTGGTACAAACACTGACTATAAGGAGAAATTTTTTGAAAAGATAATATATTCTGTTTAATTGATGTAGTTAATTCTTGAATTTTCTACCTCTGCTGTGACTAAAATCAGAGTAGAGATAATTAAGTTTAATTATCCCTTACTGATCGGTTGGCAGTGTCTATCCAGAATACTAAGAGACTGGGGAAATAATATATTTTTGTTGTTAAGGAAGAAAGAAGGGAAAGTGAGTTTTATATTAGGTTTCATTAGCCTATGTGTGCTCTTCCTCTTAACTAGGGCTCATCTGGATGGGGTATCTTAATCTTGCCTGTCCCTCAAGATTAATCTTACTGCTACTGTTCCTCTATATGAAGTATATTAAGACTAGTAAATGTATCTTTTCTCTTTCTTTTAATGCAGAATGATTACAGTTTGAAAGAGAAGGCAAGGACCCACCCATCCCACAGACATTCTGGTCATGATTTGCTAAACTTACATTATGTAGCATTGTCAAGTCTCCTTTCAAGTGTCTTTGAGCCCTTGACAGGCTAGCTGGATGACTGCTCTTTTGCAGTCTTCTGTCTTTCCCATATTTGCACTGTGCTCTTCACAATGAGCAGTGAGAATTGAGCTCTGTTGGTCTTTTGGTTTGGATACCCTGCCTTTTCGATAGCCAGTGCATGTCACTCTGAATCATAAGTCGTTATCTTCCTCAATAATTTTCTTCATTTCCTTATTCACACAAAATGTCTAAGCGAGGCAAATCACTAGAAAAAGACCTCGTGTTCTTAAAGAAAGGAAGGAGAACCAAATGCATAGCCAGTGTTTGATTTGGACTCTCACGTGACTTTCCCTTTTCCTCCTTTCTTTCTTGTTTTTTGTTTGCTTTGGTTTTGGTTTTGTTCTTGTCCTTGTTCTTATTTTATTTTGTTTTGTTTTATCATCTTATTTTTGGACTGGGTCTCCCTGTGGCCCCAGCTGTCCTGGAACTCACTATGCACAGCAGGTTGTCCTCCATCTCACAGAGACCCAGCCACCTCTGCCTCTACTGGGATTAAAGGTATGCGCCATCATTCCTAGCTGTGAACAACTTTCTTTTAAGGGTTGTTTTCCAAGAGACTCCAGCAAAGTATCTGCAATAGTCATGTCACTATATCGGTACACTGTATGTGGGAATTGAAGCAAAACTATTAGTTGGTTAAGGTTAATATGAACCACAAGGGATGAATTAAAATTCTACACCTTCCTAATTTTTTTTT